AGCCCTCGTTAGCATATTGAGGGGTGTCAACTTTAATATGCATTTCGTGGATAATGAAGCAAAGTTCGTTCACCGGACACATGGCCCTTGAAATCTGCCCAGGTGCCCCAGGGCAGAGCCGTCCCATCTCCACAGGGCTCTCTCCCCCAGATACATCGGGCAGCCTTATCAGCTTCGGCCTCCACAGAAAGCACCCTGTAACTCATAGTTTTGTCTTGGGAGTGTTTGAGGCAAATCTTCAATCAGCCTCAACTCTTGCTTTCCCAGGCTGTTTGTCTTAGTTTTTCACAGGCCTGGTTGCTCGGCTCTCACACTCTCTGACTGGCAGCTCTCCAGCCTCTCCTTCCCAAGCCTGTAGCGCTGCTGGGGGTTGTTTTGGCTCAAGGGCAGCCCCCGGCATTTGGCCGTATTGAAACTCCTCCATTTGGCCTCAGCCTACGGCTCCAGCCTGTCCAGGTCTCTCTGCAGAGCCTCCCTACCCTCAAACAGATCAACACTCCCATCCAACTGGGCGTCGTCTGCAAACTGACTGAGGGTGCACTCGATCCCCTTGTCCAGATCATCAATAAAGATATGAAACAGCAGTGGCCCCAAAACTGAGCCCTGGGGGACACCACTCGTGACCGGCCACCAGCTGGATTTAACTCCATTTACCACAACTCTCTGGGCCCGGTCGTCCAGTCAGTTTTTTACCCAGTAAAGTGTGCGATTGTCCAAAACTCGAGCAGTCATTTTTGCCAGGAGAATGCTGTGGGAAACGGTGGCAAAAATTATTTAAATAATTGTTATTCGTATTCAAGAATGGCAATATCTTACCTGCAAGAAGCAATGCTAAATTTGTAAAATACAGTATTTTCCAGAGAGGGCAGGAGCTGAACAGTATCTTTGTGGCAGGAGACCTGGGACTAGTTGTTGCTTGTGGAGCCTAAGAGCTGAAGCACTGTCATCAGGCACAAAGTTGCATGTCTATGGCCGCTCGTTGCTCACAGTGTGCCTCGCTCTGAGGCAGGGCTGTGATAAGGTGTTAAGGGGGGTGCACATATTGCCTAACTTCCTGGGAAGCCAGTGGAGGGTTTGCCAGCATGGTTTAGGGAGGACAACGGGAGGTTTCTCATTATTGTACTCCGTCCTCCCTGCTGCTGCCAACTCCACCAGGAAACCTTCAGATTAACTGGTTTACCGTAAACATGTTTAGTGTATGCACCACACTTGCATGTTCTTGCTCTCTCCCCACCCCCCACCCCCCCCCACTTTGTGTTTTTGTCTGTCTCAAGCTCTCACACGCACATATATATACATTCATATAGAAGACATAAGTATGCTTACCTGCAGGGCTCAACCCTGTATCTCATGCTTCAAGAGAACGCTCAGAACATTAAATGATGGCTAAACCGATTTGGACCAAGGGGATGTGCTCTATATCCTGTAGCAGCCAGAGTTTAGCTACTTGGTAAGGATAATGAGTTATGGTTTCCAGTTTCTAGCATCTGGGTTATTAAATAGAGATTGATCAAAGCAGCAACAGCAGCAGAAAAGCAGGGGGGAAAAAAAGTCTTGAGAACACAAACCTACTTTCTGCGTATATATCATATAGCCAACCACATACCTGCTCTCTGTGTGTATATCGGCAACTGCACGGTATTTCTATTTGTAGCTTTGAGGTATTCTTAATGGAGCCGTGAACCTCATATGCTTATATCCATTTATGGGAAAAGCTGAATAGCTAGCAAAATTGCCACAAAAGGTCAATCACTTCTGCACTATACTTTTGCTAGCAGATTAAACCAATTATCCAACTAATGTTCACATGCTAGGGGTGTGGCTGACCCCATCTGTAAACTGCAGGTTTCAGAGTCATGGCCTTTCACCCAAGAGCCTGTCACACCACCACCACCCCACACCCCCCCGCCAAGCTGCTGTGCCTTTCCATCAAACCAGACACACACACACATACTCCCTCACCAACAAACACTGTCATGGTTGTTACTGTCACTGCCAGAGCAGAACTGTTCATGTTGTCTGCAGATGTTTGTTTATGTTGAGGCAGGGACATTGTGCTTTCACATTTATTTACACAGCACCTTTTCAGGTTTCTTTTTATTTATTTTTCATTCACTTGCTTCTGCTAGTTGTAGTATAACACACTATGACCAGGAGATCCTGAAGATGTGAAACCAATGGCAAGGCCTCCATCGCATTAACAAAAACATGCCTTCTTATGTCATCTCAGGAATGTCTTGGTAAACAGATATGTGTAAAACTGTAACACTTCGACCAAACTTCTGTGGCAGCATGAATGGTGACTTCCTTATTGTTAGTAAAATGCCTTTGTATGTATTACTGATAGGTAAAAGTTCATCAGCAAAACAAGTCTTTAATAATGAAAGCCAACGTTTATCTTTCTAGGCAGATCAATAGGACCTTGCTCCAAACGGTTTACATTTTTGAGGCTAGCACACACAACAAGATGCTCCTTTGCAAGATGAGCAAGACACAGCTGGGAAAATAGTCCCTGGGAAATTTCTAACAATACATTCTTTAAAATGCAGCTGCACTTTAAGATATTTTTCTGCCAAAATACATCCAGGTGCCCAACGAGGGCCACTGGGTAATGTTCTAAGTCCTGGGGAGATCAGGAGCTACACATGAACCTGCTACTTGTCCATCTCAATTTACATGGTACATATAGCACACTAGCATAATTACTAAAGTGGAGCAACTTCTGGCTTGAACAGACAAAAGTTGTGTTTGTGACATACTTGGAAGAGAATGGCAGCTTTTCTTTAATGATCATCACAGTCAGGCACTCTCTACCTCAACATCTGTTTGAGAGACACTGTAATTTAGTTAGGAGAGGAATATGGGGTGTCAGCTTTTCGTCAGTGTAGAAGATGCTGCTGCTTAAACCACAAAGGTAGGATCAAGTGACTTGAGGGTCATACATAGGTAACCCTTGCATTGCAGGATTAAATTAATGTGTGGCCTACTGACAAACAAAACTGATCACAGAGGATGTGATCTCACACCCTCCCAGTTTAAACAAACCTGGGATTAACCAACAGTTCTTTGCAAAAAGCAGTTTGTCACTTTATAGGACAATCTAGCACATGGGCACAGAAAGGTCTTTGTCCTCAGCCTAGCTTGTAGCCAATTCACCACACACACCAGCTACCTGGCTCTGTCTGAAGGAATGGCTGCCACTATCCCCAGCCAGAGCTCCAGGCAGAGGGTACCCAGACTGAGCAGCTAATTCCTGGCTCAAGCAGACCCTTGCTTTATGCACACAGCTGCTCCTGCTGCGGGGGACATAGCCATTTAGCGGCTCCTTCCTCAGGGAGAGGCTGCAGGACAGGGCACAGGGCCAAAATTTAACTGCATGTTCTATATATTTGCTGATGGTTTGAAGTTTTTTCTATGCACTTTATTTTATTCCAAAATTACATCAAACCTAGTAAGCCATGCAATAAACCTAACAATTGTGAGCAAAAATCATGAGACAATACTGTATAGCACAAACCTAAGAGTTAAAAATAAAAATCTAATACCTTTTAACCAAGTTTCTGTTAATCACAAGGACTAAACAGATGTAGTGATAAGTAAACTCATATCACAATTCCAAAATCAAATAAAATTCAATTATGTTGGTAAACTAAAATCCTACAAGAGTATAAGAGGCTGAGTTGAGATGGACCATTACACTACAACGTTCAAAAAATGTGGACAAAGTGGCACCTTTACATACATGGTAGGAAAAATCTTTTTATTCTATGATTTTTGTTTTACAGGAGAATACTAATGTTTCAAAAACACAGGTAATTGAAACACAACAGTAACAGCACATACGCAGTAAAGGTGATTTAAATATTACATATATGTTAACATCTTCTATAAGAGGCCAAGATACACTTAGGTACTATTCAGCCTTCTCCCAGCAAAGCAACTCCCAGCTGCATGCAATGCTAACTCCAGTAAGGAAATTGGACCCCAGAATTTCCCATTGTCCAATTCAAAGCAAGAGATCTGATGATCCTTAGTCAGAGTTGGGAAAGTCATCTCCACCTTTGCCCATGAAAGGTTTGAGGTTCAGTCATTGGTTTGTGTACCTGAGTCATACTTTGCCTTTATCAAAAGAACCAACAAAAAGTAAACTGTATTTTGTTGTTTTATGCTGAATAAAAGAACAGACTCTGTCCTTTATATGTTAGATAATGAAAGACACTGAGGGATAAAAAAATCAATTTCCAAGAAAATAACCTTTTATTTCTTTCAATTTAAAATCTAAAATTCCTTTTTTTTTTTTTTTAATAATAAAAGCTGTCAAATTTGCTTTTCAGAAGCATCCTCATCATTAGTGGACTTCTCTTCCTTTTTTTTTTTTTAAAGAGCAACTGCTAGTATCAAAACACAAGTTTTTTAGGCACCTCCCATGAGAATTCATTTCTTCCAAAGTGACCATAACATGCTGTCTTCTGGTAAATGGGCTTTTTAAGGTCCAAATCCCTGTGTGTATAATAAAAAGAAGAGAAAATTCTTCACATTAAGGTGTTTCATGATAGCAACCATTAAATTCCTGATGGTGATATTCATTTCATGTCCTTAGTCAAGCAAGCATATTCTGGAGATGCACACATACCAGTGAACATGTCCAATGGAGAACCTTAAAATTTACAACAAAACCTAAATGTGAAGTACTTTAGGACTACAGGAAAGTCCTTACTATTGAGAATTATTAATTTTAATGGAAAAGATGAAATAACCTTCAATTCCTTTTGTAAAACAACAGATATCTTTTTTTCACAGCAAAGTTACTTAAAATTCTTGGAATACAAAAGTTATTTTATTTGGGTTCCTAATGCTTCATACAAAACCGGAAAAGTACATCTGTTATCTTAAAAGATATGGCACACTGGTAGATCCATAAAAAGTATGAACTGTGAAGACAGACAGATGAAAGAATGGGACTCTTTTGTACTGCATGGAACAATCCCATGCTAGTTCAAGAAGCTGACTCTTCAATTGTTTTGGTTTTGCAAGAAATAATTTCTAGCATGTGATCACCAAGATATTTTTGGTTTTGTTGGTTTCTATACCTTACAATAACTCCAGGCCGAAGATCAAAATTATTGTGCACGATGTCCAACAGCTCTTTCTCTGTTTTCTGGGAAGTTCCATAAGTGAACAGTGAAATGGACAGTGGATGAGCAACCCCAATAGCATAAGAAACCTATAGTAAAAAAGACACCATAGTTAGCAATTAAACATGACACCTCAATGGGCAACAGTATACAACAGAAGAAAGTATTCATTCATGAACCATCTTAAGAAAACTAAGACCTCTCCTTTACCTCCCATATTTGCACAAACTGTGTTTCTGGAAAACAAGAGAAAACTTTGAAAATGCATCTCTGGATAATGTTCTTTTCCATTAACCAGTCATCCCATGCTCATTTCTGTGACAGTAAGTGTCAGAGGGTTGAGGGCTCCATAAATGTCTAGAGAATCAGCCAATAAAATGAAACCTAAAGGAAAAGTTCCAGCTACAAGAAGCTGATAGGCTATTAGTGACATTGGTCTTGAACCAAACACATGAAGGTCTTCCTTTTCTCAACTCTAAGCCATCACCAAGGCTACTTCTACTACAGTGTCTTGTACAGTGTGTATTCCAGGTGACGCTGAAGAAGAAACATCTCTTTGAGAAAAGCAACATTCATAGCAAGCCATACCTGAACCAGAACACGGCGACAGAGCCCAGCTTTCACAAGAGACTTGGCCACCCAACGGGCTGCGTATGCAGCTGATCGGTCCACCTTTGTATAGTCTTTGCCAGAGAAGGCACCACCTCCATGGGCTCCCCAACCACCATAAGTATCCACAATGATCTTTCGACCAGTAACACCAGCATCACCCTGAATGAATAAAAGTATTTGTCTATTTTACAATCCATTTTATTATAAGTCTCAAACAAGGCTATGCATCCTTCA